TTTTTTTACTTTTCAAAGAGAAAAGCAAACTGGGGGGAAGGGGTGGGCAGGGAGGAAAACATGCAACAATGAATGAATAGAAATTAAAAAAAAAGTAGTAAACTAAAAAAATACCAAACTAAAGGCCTCTTAAGTGACCACTGACCATAGGCTACTCCCAGCTCTTCCAGCCATTGGTCCTTTTATACTTAAAGGATTAACCTCCTCCTTTCAATCATTTTATTGGTTCAGAATATTTATTAACGATTAGTACTTCATTAGGGCAGAGTTGCTTAGGTTATTCAACCATTTATTCAGGTCTGGGGCAGGTATCCACTGGAGCCCAGGTAATGTAGTGCATAGCTTATCAGGCTGTGACACAGAAGGTCAGAAGTTCAAATTTACCAGCTTCTCTGTAGGAGAAAGAGGGAAATCTCCTCTCATAAAGAATTACAGCCTCAGAAACTGGATGCAGGTCACTGTGAGTTGGAACCAATTCAGTGGCATTACGGCTGCTGTGTTCGAGCTGGTGAGCTTTTCAAAAATGTATCAGAGAGATTATCCCTTTGCTCTGAGCCTCCTGTGGTGTCTGCACAGCAAAAGCTTTAAGGCAGCTATCTTCCAGCCGTTTCCAGAGGTAGCATATGATCAAGAACCAATGGTATTTTTAATTTGAGTGAAGGTTTAAAACAATCTTGGCTTTTCTAGCACTCATTCCTAGACGTTTTGTTTTATAACAGTAATTACCATTGATTAATGTACTTAATTACAATGTCTAATCAAACAAGAACACTTGAAGAAAGAAGTTGGCCAGTTGTCAACCAAAATGTTAGCCAGGTAACTGTCTTCCAAATTTCTTGGCATAGACGAGAGAATACATCCAAGACTTCACTTGGTTGTTGAAAACATCTCAAAGGATTGGAGCTTTGTTAATTTCTGAAGCTTTGGTTTTTTCCCAGTGGCTGCAGCATAGCTTGGACTTCTTACCTCAGTATCCTTGGTTCTTGATCGTATGCTGCGTCTTGAAACGGTTCACTGTCAACTAATTCTTTCTGTGAGTGTTCCTTCCCTCTTCTTTTAATGTTTCTTGCATCATTCAATACTTTTCATATTGAATCCTTCAGTTTTGGTTTCCAAGGCTGGAATTTGTTCTTCAGCTCTTTCAGCTTGAGAAATGCCAAGCATGTTGTTCCCTTGGGTTTTCTAGCCCCAGATCTTCGCTCATTTCATTATAATACTTTGCTTTGTCTTCTCTGGCTGCCCTTTGAAATCTTTTCTTCAGCTCTGTTCATCTTTATTTTGTTTAGCTTTTCTACTTTCCATAGCAAGTTCCAGAGTCTCTTGTGACCTTCATTTTGGGATTTTCTTTCCTTCTTGTCTGTTTAAAGACTGGTTGATTTCTTCACATATATTATCCTTGATGTCATTTTACAGCTGATCTTGCCTCTGGCCATTACTGTTCAGTGCTTCAAATGTATTCTTGAGAAGGTTCCTATATTCAAGGAGGATAGACTCAAAGAAAAATTTTGTCTTTTGTGAGCTTCTTTTAATTTTTTTCAGCTTCAAGGTCTGTTCCACCATCTGCCGCTAGGCATGTGCTGACGGACGCTATTGTGCTTCTCCCTCACCTCTTTCCACAGAGGTAGTCAATCTGATTCTTCTCTGTTCCATCAGGTGAGTAGCCTCACACACACATGA